TGGCATTTTTTTTACAATAAATTTTAACAATTGTTAATATGTTCTTTTTGCACGCCCTCTAGTGTGCGTACGTCGTCTTGACCGTGGCTTCCTGTTGATGCAACACTAGGGCGCGGCCCGTGCGGCGTTGGCTGCACCTGTCTTCTTGACCGTGGCTGCCTTGGATGTACCGCCAGATGGCGATATGTTTTACTGTCTTCCCCTTGAGACAGAACTTATACGAAGAAAAATGTTATGATCCTCCCTTGGACCATTTATTGACAAAGTTAAAACGAAAAGGCTAACCTTTTCATGGCGGAGTTGTTGGGTACTTCATACCCTTTTAGCTCCAATACATTTTTTATGACTCTTATCTTCTCCTGTATTTTGCGTTTCCCTGCACATTTGAATATCTTCTTGCTGACCAGTTTAATACATTTTTCGGTAGTGTATTTCAACTCGAGGCACCGGGGTGCAACCTTCGGTTGAGCTTTCAACACGTACTCTTCAGCCATGATCTCCATTAACTCTTGCTCGTCACGGTGATAGCCGAGGAAGTCGTCGAGAAGTTGATCTATCTTCCTGGTCAACTCCTGGACGCTCGGTGTTCCTCCCAAAGTACGGCCGAAGGTTCCTGACATTCTCGACTGTTGTTTGGCCACTCTGCAAATTATTTACAATAAACGTATTTTCCTCTTATTGTTCGGTTATTTTGTAGGAGCCATCGAAAAGTAAGAAAACAATTTTCATCTCTTTTTCAAGACTTGAAGATTTTGGGTGGGTTTTCACCAAGACCAACTGTCCCACCGAATATTTTCTAAAATATTTATTCCTATCAGCTTTTAGTTTTCTTTTTAACGCTTTGTTTAAAATATTGTCTCTTACAATAGTAATGATATTATTTTCTTTCCCTTCCGACGGTGGAATATTTAATAGATCCCTAATAGGTCGATCAGGCGGTTTCCCTTTTAATACCTCCCAGGGCGATTTTTCGGTCGTGTCAGATATACTATGGTTAATCCAATTTTCTATTTTAATTAATATATTAGGCCACATGGTATGTTTGGTGTAACAATATGTTCTCAGCATCCTCCCTATCTCCCTATTCACCCGTTCTACGGGATTACCTTGTGGGCTATATAATGCTGTAAAAACTGTTTTAATATTTATTTTGTTTAATCGCTGGGCCCAAATCTTAGATTTAAATTGAGTAGCTTTATCGGTTAGAATACATTTGGGCGTACCTTCTTTAGGTATAAAATCTTTAATTACCCGGTTTAATATTGTTATAGTGTTAGCTTTTTTTATCGCGTATAATTTTATATATTTAGAAAAGGTAACCGTCATCGCCAATATATATTGTACCCTCTCTACCTTTCGGTAACGGTCCCATTAGGTCTAGAGACAGTAAGTCTAGGGGTTGTTTAGGAGTATGATTACTTTGTGGGCCTGTTGTATTTTTATTAAAAAGTTTAGCCTTCTGACAAATATCACATGTACGAATGTAGCTAACAATTTCCCGTGACATTTTCTTAAACACACAATTCTCTTTTAATATTCTATACACTTTATTAGCACCAATATTCCCGAAACTATAATGGGTTTCCTATATTAACTCCTCAATCAGTACCCTTGGTATCATTGCCCTCCATTCTTTACTACAGTCTATCCTCTCTAATAGCACATTATCCGAAATAATATGGTAGTCGTCTTTACCCGGTTCATCTCTCACTCTTTGTTTTAAAACAGATAATTTGTTATCATTTTCCTGATATTCCCCTATCATACGGAGTTTTTTCTCAAAATCTTTACTGCACCTAATACTTTTTATTTTAGCAATCACTAATCTTTTTGGGTCCCCAGCCATTACCTCTTGTTGTTGTGTTGGATACCTTGTCAATGTGCCAGGTACAATATTTTGTTTACCCGGTATATGTCTAATGTGAAAGTCGAATTCTTGTAAGAATAGGGCCCAGCGCGTAAGTCTGTTATTTAGTAGTTTGCTACTGCTTTACACCATTTGCTAGGAAAGATCAAACGCGGTTGGACTTACTAGTCAAACACCGCTGGACCGATGAGCTGAAAGATAATTATTTTACTGCCCGCATGCTTATTTCTGCCCTTGGGGCCCCCGAAACGCGTTCAGTTATACTCGGCTTGTGTCCCTATTTTTAAATGTTTATCGACCTATGGTCTTAAAAGTAACTTTGATCTAATGGTATATAATTTTCCCTGTGGTTCTCAAAAGATTTGAATAAATTATTGGCATTTTTTTTACAATAAATTTTAACAATTGTTAATATGTTCTTTTTGCACGCCCTCTAGTGTGCGTACGTCGTCTTGACCGTGGCTTCCTGTCGATGCAGAACTAGGGCGCGTCCCTTGCGGCGTTGGCTGCACCTGTCTTCTTGACCGTGGCTGCCTTGGATGTTCCGCCATATGGCGATATGTTTCACAGCGTTTCATAAAATGGTTGTTTTTGATATCCTCAACATATCACCTATAAAAAGAAAATATAAAAAATATTTCCTTTATAGTTTCGTGTACAAAAACTTGTCTGAAAAATTCGAATTCCCACGCAAGTCATCTGATATTGGACTGATGAATTTGGGAAAATCTTTCACGGACAAAAAAATGTCGTACCAACAGAAAATATCCTAAGAAAAATTATACTTTTGAAAATAATGGTCACATTTATGCGGCTACAATTCTTCACAGCTCATAAATAATTGTTCAATAATACAAAATCTTTATAAAAATAAAACTTAAATAGAATATAAAAATGCTTGTTAAAACTTATGATAAAATGTATGTTATTTATAGATGTATTATGTTACGTTATGTCAGGATATTTTTCCTGATATGGTTGTGCGTTGGGTTTATATGACTAATAGTTATCGACTATAAAATAACGTATTGATAGTGTTAGTTATTTAATTAGTCACATGTAATATTGAACGTTCTTATGTTAATTTCAGTTACATAGTTATGAACTTCGGAAGTTGTACGACACATGTCATTGTAAAATTAAAAAAAAACTAAACATGGCCAGGAAGCAATCGACCTTGTACATATATTGTGGACTTCTAAAATAAACGACAAATATTACTGTCGATATCGAAATAAAACGGAATATAATATAGTAGAAGTTATGGCAAAGGATGCCAAATTACGAGGAAAATCTTAAAAACACTTTCATTCATAGAAGAAGCTGGTGAGTAAAAATGAAAATAAAATAGCTAGATTTATCATATTTATTTTAAAAAAATAACACAATTTTCATTAATTAATTAAGTTTAATCTATAATAGTAATGCCCCAATTTCGTTTAAGATTTTCGTGTACTTAGACATCTTAGATAGTTATGAACAAAGACTCAGACGAATGAACAGAGGAGCCTACTTTCGTGTTATCAAGTAGTGCGATTGAAGAGGACTTTAGTTCTGATCAAAAAACAGACCCGAAATACTTCAGCCTTAAAGAAACAAAGAAATCCTTAAAACAAGTTTTAAGCCATAAAATAAAAAAAAAATACAAGAACAAAGCAATTATGAAGTGTTATAGTATTATATATAACATTTTTTAAAATAATTAACGTAACATTCAACAATATTATTAACGTATACTTTTAATATTTATACTTAAAAATAATACTATAGTTTATTATAATTTATCTTTAGATAATGACAGCGAACACTTTTCAAAATCAGAAATATCAAAGACCTCAAGTGATAGTTCACCAAAGGTAAACCAGGTAGTTTACCAAAATCTAGTGCAAAAAAAGAATTACTACAGAAAATGACAGCTCCGGTATTGTCTCCCCTTCGACTTCTTCTCCTCCTCCACCTTTTTCCTGTATTTTATACAGCTAAATCCAACCACGCTTCAGCTGCATCGGCGATTGATGAGGTGGATTTTTGGCTAATATTAATAAGTTCACTTACAGGGTTAAATAACTCAATTGAATCAGATATTTGTTTTAAAAAAATTGTATCAAATAAATATGTACGAACTGTTTCTTTAAAAATAATAGTGCTTGTAGCTAATACTTTCTTCATTGGTGTAATATTATCCAATACATTTTTAAATGAGTCCCTATATGTACACCATTTAGTGTCAAAAGGCTTTGAATACGTCGACCTCCTTGATTTAATAACTATTTTTCAGCATCTGGTCCATGAAATGCTTTTAGTAAAACTTTAGCTTTCTCTATTAATGGTTTTAATACAAGGTCCTTTGCCAGCAAATTGGCAGTATGACTATTGCAGGTTAAATGCCAAATTGTAGTAAGTTTGCCCATTTTTATCATATTTGCCGCATTATCACTAATTACAGCGTAAATATGGGTGTTGTGTTTTTCTAAAGCTAAAGATATACATTTGTCTACTATATTAGAAAGTTCTATTGCAGTTTCTTTAATACCTATTAAATCAAAGCACTCTAAGAAAAGTGCTTCACCATTAGCACTGTGCAGCAAACAAGCCAAAATTTTTGTATTAGCTGCCCCATTTTTCCAACCATCTTTTAATAGAGCTGAATTTGAATGAAATTGTATAGCTGCACAAAAACTTACGGTATTGGGTGGTGGAACTGACTTGCGTTCTTTGTAATTAAAATTAACTATACGTACAAATGAAAATTATGAAAGATTCGTACAGAAAAGGTTTGCATGCCTTAATTGGCTAGTGGCATTCGCCATGGCGATCGTTGATTTTTTTGTGGTTCTCCATATAAGACAGCCCCACTTTAGCGGCTGCCAACAACCGTCGCATCGCTTGCAGCCTTTTGCTAGTGCTGCACCACATTTTCTTTTTAGTCAATAATTAAAAATGTTTAACATTATTTAAAATTGTAGTTAATTTTCAAAGTAATTGATATGTTTAAAAAAATGTGGTACAATTTTAGTTCACTTTTTTACAGCATTATGTTTTTAAAGAAGTGTTTTCCCCCTTTTTTTTCAATGTCACTCTACCGTCTAAAGTCACCCGAAATTACGGTAATTTTTTTAATCGGACGCGTTTTTTAATCAATATTTTCAACAATCAATTGGTCTCCAAATAAATCTTTAGTCTTCGGTTTTTCGGCTTCATTTTCCTGTTGCTCGCTCTCTGGCTTAGATTCAATTTTTTCTTGGTGCTTGTTCAATAACCCTTCTTCTTCGAGGTACTTTTTCGCCCCATCAATCGCTTCCTGAGTGAACATGTGCGGGTGTTCGACCATATAGTTATAAGTCCACAAGTCTAAGCCGACAATGATGAACATAGCCCCTCTGATCCATATTTCGGCTCCTATACGAGAAATAACATAATATAATAGGTTTGTGCTTTGCCAATATTTGTATTGTTTTGAAAATCGTTTTCCACGCCTCTCCGTGGAATGTTCTGTGTGGTTGATTAGAAGCTTACCTATTGCAAAATCTTTAGTCCCATAAAACATTTGATCGTCGACGTTGGTGTTGGGTTTGCGAAGCCTTACCGACGACATAAACCTTCCCTTTATGAATCCGGTATTCTTGCCCGACGGCGCCTCCTGTATAGTCATTTGGTCGTTACCAAGACAAAACGCCATTATGAATTCACGGTGTTTGTCTTCTTCTCGCACACACGCCAATTTAAGCTTATACCGTAACTTTTTTGCTGCATTTAGCACATAGGTGACAAAGTCCAAGGTTTTCGGTGGCTTCGGCATTAATGAGAAACAGTTTTGTAGCGTGTCTTCCGGACTACCGATGCCAGTGTATGGTGGTATATACTATTTGTTGGGACACGAATTAAAAATATATATATCTTGGTTATCTGTGTATTGTTAAGTTACCTTTTCTTGGTTAGCCGGATCCGCGCTATCGGGTTCAGTGACTTCGATAGGCCCAGGTTGATTGATATTTAACATTTCTTTAAAATAATCTCGCGTGAACTGATCGCAATCATACAACAAAAACCTGAAACAAATCATTTCGTCAGTAACAAACAGAAAAAAATCAATATTTTTGAACCTGAAACGAGTCAGTTATCCTCATAAATCATAATACACAAGCATGATTTTATGACTATGCTATAACATGGACTTGCATCAAAATGCGAGATTACTTTCAATTATACTGTAAAAGTTAGAACGTATCAAATAACACTGCGGTACGAACTTTCTGCCAAGTACAGAAATGAAGTTTCCAATAACGAAATCTTTAGGTTGGTAGTATTCCTTAATTTCTTCTTCCCCACTTTCCAAATAGATGGTTGGAAAAGTCGCTGAATGCCGTAAAAAAGTAGATATCATTATAATTGTTCGTTATAATTTTCATGTAATATACACGAAACAGTCGTTACCAGATAACTTGGCACAGCTGCGGCGGCGCGAAAACGCAAAGCCAGGGGTTCTCAGTATTTTATGATGTTTATTTTTGTCTATTATACCTTGTCGACGCATAGTTGATAGTTTAATTTTTATAGAATTTATAATAATTATAATAGTAACAACAACAACAATAATAAAGAACCGTCGCGGCCGAACTATGCTCGTCCTAGCCGACGGGCGGTCGGGGGAAAATACTAGTTTGGGATACACTTGCTGGTAAACACCGCTGTCGATGTGCTAACTTATTTGGCAACGACTGTACAGAGTTCGGTATAAATGTCCAAATTGATTTTATTGATAAATTATACATGTAAACAAAATTCCATTTTTTTTTTTTATTATTATTATGTATCTCTAATGTCAAACAAATAACCATATACCTACAAAAAAAACAATTATTTGTTTATTTTTGTTTGTTTTCTACATATTTTATTAACGAAGAGAATATTATATGTAAAGCTTATTTTGAAAAATATAAGAATATCTTGAGCATTTTAGTATATTGAGATTTTAATCTGAACATTTTTCATTGGACATTCTTACCTAGACACGACTAAAGAGTCTATATAAAAAGAGAGTGGTCAACCCCCTTCTGCGAATTCCTAAAGAAGATATCTATGTGTAATGTGACTTGTATTAGTTTTTTTTGCCACCTTTCAAATTACATTAAATATCTAAAAAAAACTTGAGCAATTTATGGTTATATATAATAAAGAATATTCTAAAACCCTTAACCATAAAAAAGTACACTTTTCGCGTTTACGTATTTCAGCAACAATTTTGTCATCTTCAGCGCTAACAACAGACAGACCGATTATGGGCGAACACTTCCTTATATACATATACAGCGTCGTCATACCGATAATGATGACTCATCGTCAACACGTTTTGTACATTTTAATAAAATATTTTGTAATGTACTAAAGTCCCAGTTTAATTGTTTCTATTTTTCAACATTTCTATTGCCTCTATAATATTAAGTTCTTTAGTTCTTTACATTTTTATATATGCTATTATATGCTTTACTAAAATTCCAGGAAACACTATGAGACCTATTCTATCAAACATCAATGCTCCAACTTACAGTTTATCTGAATATTTAGTTAGATAGTTACTATCAACTATCAACTGAAAAGCTATAAATTTTCTTAAAAGGTAAAACAACGTTAACTAAATATTCAGATAAATGATAAGTTGGAGCCACGAGTGTAACACAATATCATTTGCAATAATAATTTGATTTTGAAGTAACTTTTTTTCTCACTACTAAATTATTAATTGGTTTTTTCTATAGTTGTTTTGTCATTGACATGTATCAATGTATGCTATATTTTTAATCTGTCATAACAATAATCCCACAAATATAGACCTACTATTTTATTTCCTAATATAATGTATTAAAATAAAATTGTTGATTAATGGGTGATATTATTTTATTAGTCTGGCAGCACTGATACTTTCAACAATAATGGCGATCCATGAAATTTAATAAGGCTGTTTGCCCACTCTTTTGTTATATAGGCTCTCTTTACTCTATTTAACAGCATCACTTACCTGGCAATAGATTCCTGTCTTTTGGCAATCGTATTCTGTTCAAAAATACCGGAAACGGATCTTTTCCACAAGAGTTTTGGCCGACCTTTGACTCAAATACTGCGACCTCGCCATCAGTCAAATAGTAAAGGACGATAAAGTATTTGCGTTCCACTGTGTCGAGCCAATCGTCATCCCAGACAGCATAAAATCTTCACCGAAAAATCATATTATATGTCAATAATTATGTTATAATGGCATTTTCGAGTAGCCAAGTGACAACAGTATAATGTAGGATATGCACAACTCCTACATACGTTTTAAGATTTCATAATCCTTAACAATTAACATGACAAGTATATGTTTTTAAGCGACAATAAACTTTACATTAACTATTTTATATCGTACAAGTTATGTAAAATGTTCATATTTAAATTCGTAATTATAGTTCATTCATTGTTCATGGCCTTTTGATAAATCTAAGCCAATAAATAAGTTCAAGTTGTAATAACTACAAGCTCAATTTGGTTATTCTCAAAATGCATTATATCTTTAGCGGTATCGGCTATCAGAAAAAAACTAAAGCGACAATAATTATCAGATATCTACGCACTTGCCTCAGTACTTTGCCGTCATTTATCAAAAATTGTTTTAGCCTATCTTCTTCAACAGATCGCCTGGAAGTGCCCGTTGCTTGTTGACCTTGCCGTTGCGTTAACCGGTGTCTGGTGATCGTATATGGATCGCCCGGCATTTGTTCGTCTGGGGCCATTGCCACACCTTGCATGGACAGATACTGTTTGGTGTAAGCGTCGCAATTGCAAAGTCGGTACGTTACACCATATATGGATAGTTCCACGCCGTTATTTAGATCTGACCAGTGCCACGTCCTGTTCTTCCGATTTGGGTTTGGCACGGGTCCTCGTCTCAATATACACCCCTGCGTATAACCGGCATTCTGTGGAGAAGGTCCTTTTTATTTTACGTAGATTGTTGATCAGGTATTCAGTAAATTTAATGTTTTACTGCACTGAGTGTTTTATTTACAGCTTATTACCTCTACAAAAGGCTCGAAGATGGCAATAGTGTCATCGACCAGGAAGTATGTAAATTTTACGTGACGCACTCTGTATGTGTCTACTGGAGATTCAAGAACCGTCACTCTAGTAAAACCATTGAAAGCCAGACATCTTCCGTCGTACTTTTCGTAATGTGATTCGGGGATAGAAATCGGAGGGTCTTTCGCTTTGCCATAGGTCAACGTCGGATCATAACTGAAGAAAACGTGACACACAATTTTAATGGCAGGTCAGAAAATGTTTAAAGTAAGATACCTCGGAACTATAAAATACAACTAGGAGCCTATTTAAATTTGCGATTTTGGTATACGAATAAATGTTATTCGGTTAAAAATCGAGCAAGTATCAGAAACACAATACAGGTTACAAAACTAAATAAAATAAAAAACAATATTCAACTATGGAAAAATCCAGGACTTAGCAGGAAAAAAGAAACAGTCATCAATCTCGTCTCCGAATAGGCCACACACATCTCACACACGGCTATTTAATGACCAGGGAGGAACCACCAATGTGTGGCACATGTGGTGTTCTTCTAACGGTTAACCACATACTTACGGAATGCCAAAAATACAAAGACCACCGCAGTCAATTCAACTTCTCGGAACAAATCAGTCAAGCTTTGGGTCCCAGCGTTCAAGGTATCTCGAATTTAATTGCCTTCTTAAAAATATCTCAATTATATAATTTAATTTAATCAAAAAACATGTTTCATCTGTAAATAACTATTTACTAAAGGCCTAAGATGCCCATGTAATTTTAAGATCAATAAAAAAAAAAATTTTAAGAACAATACAGGTTAATGTTTAGGATATCTTTGGACGTTATGGTTGTGAGCATTTAAAATTATTTTCTTTTTTTATTAATTTTGAATGTTTCTAAGAAAAATGATCTTAGTCAGAGTTTTAGTGCGTTTTAAACGATGGAATGGAATAAGATGGCCATAATTGCAAAAAAATGTTTAATTGTTTTCAATTTTAGTTCCAATTACCCTTGAACTTGTCTGTCATGTTAAAAAACCTGGAAAGTCCAAGGTAATTTGTTACCTTCTTTCATTAGAAATTAGTGACTTAATTAATTGGCACGTTTGCAATTGATATTGTCTTCAATATGTCCTTTAATTGTTGCCCATTGGTAAAGGAATGTGACCAACCTAAGCCTTTGCTCTATAAATAGCGAACGAAGATTTCTATCTCAGCTACATCTAAAAAAAACCGCTACAGCTAATATTGTGTACTTCATGTCACAAATGCTCTGTTTCCTTGTGAAATTTGGCAATCACCCAACATAATTTGCATAACTCATAATATTTTTGGATAAATATTAATCTGATAGAATGGCAACGTAAGAATTCCTCCAGTTAACAATTTCTATACTTACCCGGCGTTGTCTGACGTCTTTGCGTACAGTATCGAGTCCACATCCAGAGGTTCTTTGCCAATTCCAATGGACTTTTCCCTCGGCAAGGCATATCCGTTTGTCCATTTAAACTGAGCACTAAGATTGTAATTTTTTTTCTAAAGCACCGAACGCGTAGCGCGCAAACTATATTAAAATAATAGTTGATATATTATAATAGTGTAAAAAAACGTCTTACAGTGATGTCATTGAAACGAAATCCAGGTAAGAAAGGTAAACCGTCCATTTCGTCCTTCACTGCAATGTACGTTATAGTATTAAACTGTTAGTAGATTTTCAAATTCAATCTTAAACAATGTCCGTTACTTAGAAACGCTAAAAGGCATTTTAATAACCACGGTCACTTTGTATACTTGTCTATATCTAAAACACTAAATTTATATGTATATATATTATACATATGTCCTACAAAACTGTATATTTTTCTAACTGTTATCTAATTATTAGTTAACTGTTATGTGTCTGATTATTCTATTTGATTTATACGAGCTTGCTCGCTATCTATCATTTTACTTAGTGAATGAGATATTTCTTGTAAATTGTTCAATGTAATGTGACCCACATCACTCCAATTTTTTAAGTTAGTTAAGGGTGGTAATTTTGGTATTTTTGCTACTAATGGGCTCATATCTGTTTTTGGTACAAAACCTATGTATTTACTATTAGAAATAGATTCTACTGAAGTTAATATTGAGTGCGTTGGGGTGGGTAATAATTGTTCCATACATTTTTTCTTCCAATGAACATTTGTGCCAAATGTTTTGTGGAACAAAAGTCTATTGGGACAAGAGTTTATTGGGAGATAAGATTCATGGAATAATTGTTATTTAGAACAAATGTTTTGCGGAAGAAAAGTGATATCGCATAACAGTACATTAGAACAATCGTTCATGGAAGTTAAATATTTTCGAGAAAAAGATAATTGGAACAAAGTATCTTCGGAACATGAGTAAATAAACGTTGGATTAAGTATTCCAAAAAATATAATTTCCAATGTAAACTATATAAATAATAATTGTATATGATATTATTTAGATACATAATAATATATTATTAGGTAATTTATATTATATGACAAATCTAAAAAATATATCTAAAAAAAAATAAAAATTAATCAAATACGTTAGCCAAGGATATTTGGGCTGTATCGCTCTATTGCATACAAACCCATTATTATATGAAAAGGGTTATGTTAATTTAATTAAACCCTTTTTTGTGGGTTAAACAATTGTTATTAAAAACGTTTATAAAAGTATAATGCATCTGAATTAAAAAATGCTTTTTATATGTTTTTTCAGGTTAACAGTTTTTTTTTTCTTATAAGAATTACCTACATTTTGAAAAAAACCCGTATCATAAAATATTATATATAATTATTTTTAAATATTCATGTATAGTTCGATGTTTATATATCTATTCTAAATTATTTTTAGTGATTACTAGAAAATAATGCATTAATAATATATTATATAAAACTATATGTTTTGAAGTTGGTTGCTAGTTCAAAATACCCAAATATTAAATATTAAAAATTATAGGTAATTAATATTAAATTTGGAGATTCATTTTGGAAATAATTATTGACTGTGTTTATCACGGAAGCAAGTAATTAATTATACACACGACCTTTAATGCACTCTGCAGCTATAGTAACTTATATAGAATATTGATCGAATTAAACAAAAAAAGGCGATAACGATAAGACGAGTATAACAGCGTACTGCAGAGAAAAACACAACCGACGTATGAACGATAATGTGAAAGATTGAACTTTATACTCACACTATTAATTAATGATGTGAAACGAAAATAACAGCTTACGGATATGTAAGTATATAATATTACAAACAATGTTTATTTATCATAGATAACAGTGAAAACAATTTGACCGTTAAATATTAAAAATTATAAATATTAACGTTAAGCGCAAAATCAACCGTTTCACTAAAATACAGCTATAAACTAAAATATATTTATATAAAAACTGTTGTTATTTTTTTAGTACCTTTTACGCCTGAACCACATTTTAATGAGGTTATCATAAAATAATGTTTGACCTTTCAAGTGTTCACACCACATTGTAATGTGGTTAGTTAATTTCTCAGTTGCAATTAATTCAAATTTCATAAAAATTTTCACATTATTAATACCGAGTATAATAAGTAAAAAGTATAAAAAAAAATGTCATGTCAACAAATAAAAATTGGGGACTGATATAATAACCTATAAAATCTAAGCACGTTTAATATGGTTTCATAGAAATTTTAATTATTAAATATACGTTTTTTTTATTATTTCCGAAGTCAAACTCAAAACAACTAATATTTTTAAATCACAATTTTAACAACATTTATAATAACATACATTATTAATATGAATGTTATTAAAATATAATACCCATAATATAAAACAATTTTTTTTTAGTATTTTGATATTTTAATGTTGTAGTAAAATGATAAGTACGCACAACAGTTTTAATTTATAAAATACTATAAATTGAATACAATTTTGGATTACATCCTAAAATTATGATTTAAAAAAAACTTTTTTGGAGTTTGACTTTGGAAATAACAAAAAAACGTATATTTAATATTAAAAATTACTATGAAACCACATTAAACGTGCTTAGATTTTATAGATTTCAAGCTGTCCGGAGCCGGCGTTGCCCGGTATTTAGTTTGCCAGGGCTGAGTAAAATAATGACAAATAAGATAAGTACAAATAAGAAAAAAAAACTCAGTACTCCAGGTTGTATATTGTAGAGGTTTAGCACACCCCGTCTCGGTTTTTTATGTACATTGCATTATATTGATTATGTTCCCCTCTTACTCAAGGTTTCCAGTCCCAGATCCAGTTTAAATGTTTAATCTAATATTTCAATATTTATCACCTACCATTTGCTCGAGTCCGTGGTTACCATGGTTACAAACAAAGAGTTTATTTTGGGTTAACAACGAAAAATATTTCGTATTTAACCCTTCACTGCATGAATTTTTTTTTTTTACGAAAAAATTAGAAATGATTAATATTATAATACAAAAGTTGGGGATATAAAAAAAAACGTTTTATTAACTTTTGAACGAACTTACGTACAATTTAAGTCTCAATGCATATATGACCTTACATGCATGGAACACATCTTATTATTACTACTAAAAAATAAAAATTAATTCTACAGTTTTATTTTAAATTCTAATTAAATTTAATAATTTTTTTAAATAATTTTAAATATTTTTTTAATTATTTTTTTAACATTCTAATAATTATTTTCTTGTTCATTTTGTATGAAAATATTCAAAACACGTCTTATTTCTACTAACACGTAAATATACATTACATTTTATACATTTTACAAATGTTTGAGATTTACATGATGGCATTTTACAAACTCTTCTTGTATCTACAAATTGCGGCCAATGATTACAATCCTAAGTAATACGAATTTCAAATTATTTACTAAAAAAAATATTATAAATAAATAGGTATACCTCGTTAAAGTCTCGAGAAAATATTTCCAAAAATTCATCATCTAAATCACAAAACTCGTCTCGCTCTCATATGGAATGTTTAAAACTTAATTTATGTCTTTATTGTTAAGTTTACTCATTTAAATTTCAAACAAATAAAGAATAAAAACCATCAAAAACGAAAAATAAGTAAAAATAAACACCGCTGACTTGTACCTATAAACTATAATGACAAATGCATGGAAGGTCATATGTGACAGCGGTAACAAAATATCTGTTTTATAATCAAATAAACATGGTTGAAGATTATCAACGAACCATTCTGGTAAAGCAGACGATAACAATACACGTTGTATTTTTTTCAACACCATAGATACAATTTTAGTATAATAAAACAGAGTACAAACAGAGTATTCCACAGCTATTTTTGTAGTAGCCACAACTATATAATATATATGCCATTTTTATGTGTTTACTGCACTCTATTGCTCAAAATAGTTTTAAAAATCGATAATTCAGTTATTTTTCCGACAGATAACGATGTAACAAATTACATTCAACCATAATCAATAAGTTATATCAACACAAATAACCTAATGCATATATGCACTTACATGCAGTGAAGGGTTAAAGTAGGAAGTTCGTGTTTGAGGCCGCCCTTAAGGGTGGAATTTTCGAAAAGTACTACCTATGCCAGTTATCTTTTGGAAGTGTACTCAACATCTACCCAAAGTTTTATGGCGATCGGATGAATGGTGTACTAATGCATAAAGGACTTACAAACAAACAGACAGACATTCATTTATATATATATATATATATAATATATATATATTAGATTATATCAATCGATAGAGTAACTTCTTAGGATTCGAATAAAACCGTCAGATTCAGAGAATATTGAATAGTTTAAGTTTTAGATAACGAATTGTGCAAATTAATGAAAAATGCTTAACATTTTTTATTAAATCGCGTTAAGCGACCTGTTAACGAATGACCCCAAAAATTTGATAAACTTATTTATTTACTATAAAGATATATTATAGATTAGTAATAAAATTAAGAAGTATATTTCACGTTATCTCACTGTTTTCTGTTAAAGCCGATATTGTTTCTGAAACAAGTTGAAAGGTTCGAGAGTTGCTTGGAGAGTTAATTTGACCATTTTGTACATCAGAAAAAGGCGGAGGAGTCTGAACCCAATTTCTTTGTGGAAGAGGCTTGTACATAAGTCCTTGGTTATGCATTATTTGTTGTTTTTCGACTTCTTGAACACAGCTGAGAAAATTTTCGTGATTACTAAATTAGCACGGAAAGGATCTAATGTTTTGATCGTAGCTGCAATGCCCATCAAAAATGCATCTATGGGGTTTTTTTGAAGTCTTATTTTCTGAAATTTGCCTATTTTCTAATAAGTACTTCATCAACGTTGATGATTCTGTTTCTTTGTCCTTTTTTTTCCATCAGTACGAGGGCAAAATTTAATATGCTGCTGTGTTGGCGTAGACACAGCTGTTGCATTTACAGTATCTGATGATTGTTTGGGATCAAAATTATTTATAATATTATCTGCCGATACATACTTATCTGGCACTTCATACATATTATCTTCTTCAGAATCGCTGCCTTCAATATTTGAAACGGTTGGTCTTTCTTGGAAGTATTGTTTCAAAAAATTAACTTGGTCTTCATATTTATATTTAAGCAATTTTTTCGATGCTTGACCACTTGTATTTTTTGTTTGTTTAAGAGTTTTCTG